GAAGGAAGGAAGGAAGGAAGGAAGGAAGGAAGGAAGGAAGGAAGGAAGGAAGGAAGGAGAATGTGACTTATGACTTTCACAGTTACAACCTTTGCAGCATCCTTATGATCATATGATCAAAATTCAGAGGCTTAGTACCTGGTTCATGACCATTTATGACCATTGCTGTGTCCCAAGGTCATGTGATCACGTTTTGCAACCTTTTGACTGTCAAAGTCAATGGGGAAGCCAGGTTCACTTAACAACCTTATCAATGGCAGTGATTCTCTTAATAACTGTGGCAAGAAAGTCATAAAATGGGGAGAAACTCACTTAACAAACGTCTGTTAACAACATACATTTTGGCTCAATTGTGGTCATAAGTTGAGGACTACCTATATAATAAGTTTAATAATAAGTCAATTATTATTATACACCACTGACCCCTTTAGCCTCACTTTCTTCACACATTTTTCCAAAACAGACCCAGGAAAAACCATCTGATGTAAATATCTGAACCCCGGGTGTTTTCATTTCATGAATTGAATATATAGGTTCAGCCTGAATATGTATGGGAGTGAAAAAGATAATGGCCATAATTTCTTGATTCGTATTAAAGACACTTTTTGTTCCCTGCAAATACTACAAATCATGCTTAAAGTTTAATTTATGGTAATCCAACACTGCCATGCGGCTCAGTTAAGCATTAAACGTGTTTTAATCACCGTTCCATGGATCTCACTGTGTTTTATGGGAGTTCGTCTAATGCTATATTGATGGGTACTTGATATTGCAGATTAATGAATCTAGGTTATTCTTGCAATCATTAACAACACTGATTTGAATCACTAATCAGCACTTCAGAGGGTCATAGATAGAATGAAAAAAGCATTACTGAGAAGGAGACCTAGCCAATCTATTTTGGTAGGTGGAATGCTCGTATTTCCCAATGGGATTTCAAAGGATTGAACTGTTATAAGGAATAGCAAGCATTGATTAATTATATTAAATAACTACAAATAATGCATAGCACCTTGCAAGGTGTCTCCAAGACCCTCTGTTTAAATGGGGCTGGGGCTGAGCATCCTCTCCTGAATATGTGGTGCTCCTTTTCAGCTACTGGATCATATAGTGACCAGAGAGCTTATGCAGGAAGAAAAACAGATTTTCTCCAACTAATATTGGATATAGGAAAAATGGCCTAGATATTAATAAATAAAACATTTATTTCATTCTCATGAATTAACATCTTTCAATTTATATATAATTTCTTGAATTCCGAATGCTGTACAAAATTGACTATCTTCCATCATACGTGTACCAAAGTGCATGTATACTTGCATACATATATACATATATACACACACACACACACACACACACANGCGTTGTGTTTCAGCTCAGGGGTGGGTGTGCATGCCCAGGATGGGCATCGTCAGCTTGACGCCATTTGTGATGGGGGCACCTGTGGTGGCCCAAGCGTGCTTCCAGTGAAAACAGACTCCTGAGCTCCCTTTTTGGTTGCCACAGCCTCCTGCAACCCTCTGCCAGCAAAAACTGAACTTGGGAAGGATGCACATGGCCCTCCAGAGATCTATTTTTGCTAGCAGAGGCATCGCAGGCTGAGCCTTCGTTGTTTCCAGGGCGGCCCTGCAAGCCAGATCTAAGCACCCTGCAGGCCGGATTCAGCCCCCGGGTTTTGAGTTTAACACCACTGCCTTATACCATCCCGGACAAATGGCTGTCCAATCTTTTCTTTAAAATCACTAATGACGGAATACCCACAATTCCAAGAGGCAAGCTAATCCATTGACGAATTGTTCTCATTGTCAAGAAGTTTCTCATTAGTTCCAGGTTGAACCTGTCTTTGACTAGCTTCCACCCATTGCTTCTTGTGCTATCCTGAGGTGCTCTGGAAAATAAATTGATTCCCTGTGGCAGCCCTTCAAGTATTGGCTTCCTGTGACTTAGTCGACAGTTTCTCAACCTTGGCAACTTTAAGATGTATATATTTCATGGGTGGAGAATTGTGACAGTTGAGTTGAGTATATTCTTTTAAACATGTAACTAGCCAATAACCCGGTGTTGCCCAGGTATTTATTTATAGGAGGCAAATGTCCAGACCAAACATAATTTGTTGGATATTTTCCCCTTACCAGAGTGAGCCCCTTGTGGAGTACTGAGAAACCGTTACAATGGCAACTTCATTATGCTGTACAATAGAAGCCAGTACGGCAGTACAGCACAACAGGCTGTATCTTAACAGAAACACACACCACAAGGGATGTTAGGGGTGTCTTACCCCCCACAGTATTTTTCTCCAGAGGGTAAATCATATGTGAATCAAGTTTGATTGAAATTGCTCGAGATGTTCCACAGCTATGCTGGAACACACAAACACATTGTATGTATGTATGTATGTATGTATGTATGTATGTATGTATGTATGTATGTATGTATGACAAATCTATTGGGTTGTAAATAGATGTAAACACTTATAAATTTTGGGCCTGCTTTACAGTACAATGCAATACAATAGCAGAGTTGGAAGTACCTTGGAGGTCTTCTAGTCNACTGCTATCATGTCTCCCCTAGTCCTTCTTTCTATTAAACTAGACATATCCAGTTCCTGCAACCGTTCTTCATATGTTTTAGCTTCCAGTCTGTGAATCTGGTTTCCCTATGGACTGTGCTTGTTAGAAGGTCGCAAAAGGGGATCGCATGACCTTGGGGGACACAGCAATAGTCATACATATGAACCAATTGCCAGGCAAATCTGAATTTTGATCACAGGGTGAGGGAGTTTCTGCAAAGGTTGTCATTGTGAAAAAATGGTCGCATTTTCCAGTGCATTCATAACTTCGAACAGTCACTTACCGAACTGTTGTAAATCGAGGACTAGAATTTCTGTTGCTAAGCTAAGGCAGTTCGTTAAGAGTCATCCCCGATTCTGCAACCTTTTTTGCCACAATGGCAGTTGCTAATCAAATCACACACCATTGTTAAGTGAACCCAGGTTCTCCCATTGACTTTGCTTGTTGGAAGCCGGCTGGGAAGGTCACACATGGTGATCATGTGACCCTGGGAACTCTGCAAATGTCATTACTACGTGCTGGTTGCCAAGCACCCAAATTTTGATGACATGCCCCTGGGGATGCTGCAACAGTCTTAAGTGCAAGAATCGGTCATAAGTTACTTTTTTCAGTGATGTTTTAACTGCAAGCAGTCACTAAATGAATGGTTGTAAGTCAAGGACAACCTGTTTTAGACTCTTGGTTATTTTTTCTCCACTCGGGAGGACGTTTTTAAGTTTTCTGTGAATTGTTACGACAGCAGGTGAGCTAACTGCACGGATATAACGAGGATTGCAAAAAGTATAACAACACCCTCCACCTCCCCAAATAGAGTCACAAATATCTGAAATTAAGAATGGACCTAACTTGTCTGGCTTATTCCTTCAAACAGAAAAGGAATCTCTTTCTTCCAAGAGGAACCCAAATCCTATACAAAAGCTGTGCCTTGAGAAAAATGCCACAGTTTCCCAATTGGCAAGAAGTTTAAATCCAAAATGCTGTGTTTCATCTCAACTGTAAATTCTAGCTCCTGTAACAACAACAATGGACATGTTGCCACAGAGTAGATATGCCCCTTATCTGCTTTTCACATTTCCATTGCTATCTTTATCTTATCCGGGCAGCCGCAGCAGCTGCTGTACCTTCTCCAATAGCAAGAAGCTAAAAAGCAGCCCAGTCTGCTATCTCTTTTTAAGGAAATCCCTTTTCAGCAAAGGGGGTCTTCTCCTCCGTCCACTCCCCATCCCCAGATCCCTTCGGAAGTGTCACTTACAGGTAGTGGCTTTCAAAGGAGCAAGGCATGAGCACTGGAATCCTAAGAGCTTCCATCTTTGCTCCCTTCCTGCTTAAAGGTGCTCTGCAAAGCCCTTGGAGAAGAGTCAAAGTCAAAGTAAGTCCTGGCACTGGTTGTGTCACTAGGGGTGGCTCTTGATAAAGGCCTTGGCAACTCCAATCCCAACAGAGCTCAGGGTTCCTTAGTGTCCCTGCATTAGCAGACCTGTTTAATCCAGCACCTACCTGAAGAGGAGACAGAAAAGAGTTCGTTGAAAGCAGAAGTGGGAAAAAGGAAGGAAGGAAGGAAGGAAGGAAGGAAGGAAGGAAGGAAGGAAGGAAGGAGGAGGGAGAAAGAGAGAGAGAGAGAAAGAGAGAAAGAAAGAGAGAGAAGGAAGGAAAGGCAGACAGACAGAGACAGACAGACAGAAAGAAAAAGAAAGAGGGAGAAAGAGAAAGAGAGAGAGAGAGAAAGAGAGAGAGAGAAGGAAGGAGAATGAGAGAGAGAGAGAGAGAAAGAGAGAGAGACAGGGAGGGAGGAAGAAAGAGAGAGAGAGAGGGAGGGAGGCAGATAGACAAAGAAAGGGAGGAAGAGAGAAAAAGAAAGAGAGAGAGAAAAAGAAAGAGAGAGAGAGAAGGAAGGAGAATGAGAGAGAGAGAGAGAGAAAGAGAGAGAGACAGGGAGGGAGGAAGAAAGAGAGAGAGAGAGGGAAGGAGAATGAGAGAGAGAGAGAGAGAAAGAGAGAGAGACAGGGAGGGAGGAAGAAA